GCCAGGAGGCCACGTTCTGTGCCCAGGATCACCGCCACAGCTCACAGCATCTTCCAGGCCCGACTCCACAGGGCCAACCCTGACTGGGCCACGTGACGGGGTCAGGTAGGGGCAGGGCCCAGGCAGGTTCCAGACACAAGCTCGGCCACACCTAGAAACTGGGGGTTTGACAGATGGAGGCATCCAAGAGGGACAAACTTCCCCAGGGGCGGAGACGAGAAGCCTGGTGTGGGCTGTTTGCTGCTCAACGGCTGCCGGTATCCAGAGGCGTTTTCCTGGGGCGTTTCGGCCGGGTCCGGCTTATCTGCAGGGCTGGTTGTCCTGGGCCCGAAGCAGAACTAGACGGCCCGGGTCCGAGGCTCTTATCTCCCCAAGGTGGGGCCTGTCCCCAATCCTGCACCTGTGGGCTGGCCTGGGCGGGACACTCTGTCCTGCCACCCCACCCCCACGCGGGTGTAGTCACGTCTGCCAGTGACCACAGGGAAGAGACCCGGGGTCCACCGTGACCAGCTTCTGAGATGAGACGAGAGACGGGCAGCCGAGTGTGGACGTGGATGGTGCCCAGCAGGCACTACCAGCGCCAGGCCCGGCCAGGCCAGGTGACCCCGTGGGAAACAGGTTAATAAGTGACTTATCTTCCCTCCCAGAGCTGCCTCCCTACAGGGTCCCTGGCAGCTCCTCCCCCACAGGTGCCACAGACACCTCCACACCTAGAGACTCCACACCAGCGCGTCCCCCCAACTGCCAAGTGTCCTGGGGGTGCAAAATGGACCCCCCCTGAAACCGTCTCTTCCATCCAATAAAGTTGAAGATATTGGGGAGGGGGGTGCGGGGGGGGGGCTCTGAACTCTGATTTACAAGTGCCTGTTAAGTAGGAGGTGCACGGTAGCAACCCAGGCTGCAGCCAAATTCCCTGAGAACCAGCTCACCCCAGGCGGAGTCAAAGGGCAGGGACTCCATCCACTACCCCCACAGCAGTGGGCACCTACACCTGCCCACCATGGGAAAGAGATGAGGGGCAGCTGGCCCAGGTCAGAGGCCAGACCCTGCTCTTCCCGCCCACCCCCCTCCCCCAGCCCGGGCTGTGAGCTGGCTTCCATGCAGGGCGATGTGGCCAGGCCTGACAAGGACTTCGGGTGAGGGCAGGTGCAGGCCACCCTCCCCTGCAAGCTCTGCGGGAGCCGCCCCTCCCCAAGGGCCGAGCAGAGGGGTCATGGTGCCTGTTGGTCACAACTGATAGAGCCGCTCACGTAAGCATCGACGTCAGTCTGCTCACCACCCGCCCCGGCCCCCCCGTGGCCTGAGACACCGCACGGGGCGAGACGCTGTGACCTGGACACGCTCAGGGCCACGAACCAGCACTACCTCAGCAGCATGGTGAGTGCTGGCACTTTCAAGACCAGAGTGGAAGCTGCTCCGTGTCACCAGGGCCCGACTCGACGTGGGCATCGCAGCCAGGCAGGCTGAGGGTTCAGACCATCCCCCAGAGACCCTGGGCGCCTCTCAGCCCTCCCACAGGGGTGCCTGCCCGGTGTGGCCAAGGCGGGTAGCAGAGCCAGGAGCGGACACTCACGCACCTTGCCCGGGCACATGGCGCTGAACACTCAGAAGGTGGAAGCCACCGAGCGCCTGCAAAAAGCCAGGGATGGACCAGGGAGCTGTCTCAAAGGACCGTGCAGGCCACGAAAGGACGACACCGCAGAAACCCACTGTGCGCCGTCAGGCTCGCTGGGCGGAGCGCAGAGTGGGGTCCGCAGTCTCCGGGGCCAGTTTCTAATGGGAATCTGTTTGCAAGAGCCAGAGCTTAACCTGGTTGCGACTAGTTTCCTGCGCTCGCCCCAGCGCTGAGGCGGTGCCAGGAGCTGCAGGCGGCGTCTGCAGTGGACACGCAGCCGCCCGGGCCTGTCGTGAATCCCCTCCTTCGCGGCCCGGGGGTGAGCAGACCAGTAGGAGGAGGCTCCACGCAGGGCGGCTGCTGCTCGGCCTTTCCAAGGAGGGGCTTCTGGTGCCTGGACAACATGGGTGGACTTGAGGACACGATGCCGCAGGAATAAGCCGGTCCCAAGAGCACCTGCGCCCGCGCCCCGCTGCGGGAGGAGCCGGGAGGAGCCGGGATCAGAGCCGGACACAGAGCAGAACGGTGGGCGCCGGGGCTGGGCAGGAGGAAGTGGGGCTGGTGTTGAGGGAGTCGGGGTTTCCCTTTGGGACGATGCGGAGGACCAGGAGGCGGTGGCACCCCGGCTGCCCAGCACGTGGACGAAACCGACACCCCAAACTCTGCCTCTAGGAAGAGCCAGACTGGCCGATAAAAACAGGTTAATTTCTGGGAAGCCCCCCCACAGAAGGACGCGGACACCCAGGCTGGAAGCGCACAATGGAGTCGGGGCCCCGCGGTACCAGGCGCCCAGGCAGAGCGGGTGAAAGCCAGCCCCGGGGCGGCCCCGGCGGCTTCCTCTGGAAGCAGACGCAGGGCAGAGCCAGAGCCGGCCACACTGCCTGCTCCGGAGCTGGCCCCGACGGCGGGATGCGGCGGGTCCGTGTGCTCCAGGCCGGTGAGGTTCTGGGTCCGGCATCAGGCGACGCCTGTCTGGGTGCCAGGCAGGTCAGGGGGGCAGGACTCCACCACCAACCACAGCGACGGGAGCTGTTGACACGGCCGCCGGGGCCCGCCCTTCCACTGGTCCCTTCCCAGGCTGGCGTGAGGGGCCCAGACCACCCTGGACGGAGCCCCGTCTGTGCACCTCGGGGCTGGCTCAGCTGAGGTGGGGCGGCGGGCGGGAGGCACGTGTGCCGGGACCCAGGCAGCTCTGGGGCCGGGGAGGGGCCGCCCACCGGGCCGGCTCTGCGCTCTGTGTCCTCCCGGAGCTGGGCCCGAAGTCCTCCCTCCCACAGAGGAGGAGGTGACTGCCCGAGCCCCTCCGGTCTGGTCTCCAGTGCCCTCGGGTTCCCCACTTGTGAGAATCACATGACGCAAACAGGCACCGCCCAGACGTGTCCTGGACACCAGCAGCCAGGCCGTGGCCTCGCCGGCCCCACCGCGGGCAGGGGCGGGGACGCGAGGGAAGGCCCTGCGGGTGTGCCCCCGGCCTCCTGGACGTGCGTCGCAAAACAAGACACTGATGTGCGTGAACGTGGTTCAATACTAACTGGGTAAGTTGACGGAACTTGTTCCCTCAAGCAGGATAAATGTCCAGAGCCCACAGGGTAGGAGCGGGCAGCCCTGCTCCCCCCGCCGTGCCCCTCCCCGGCCAACCCTGCTGCTGCCCGCCATGGCCCCAGGCTGCTTCCCTGCGGTTGGCGTGTGGCTATGGGGACTGGGACTCGCCCCTAAGGCGGCACAGGTCTTTCGGTGTGACGCCAGCGTCTCGCCCCTCCAGAAAGCACCGAGGAGCGCGGTGTGGGCCCCAGATGCGGCCCGAGCTGCCCAGCCGGCTGTGGTTTGGACCCAGCAGGACAGAGGAGCAGCTGCCCGCTCCAGATGGGATGTCACTGGAGTCGGGGAGCTGGCAGGGACCGAGTCGGGGTTCTGCTGGGGTGGGGCGGGTCAGCGAGGAGCAGCCAGCACCTGTGTGGGATGCTGGGGCAAGAGCACCCGGAGGACCCAAATGCCAGATCCTGAGGGTGGGGCCCTGAGCTCTGAGGAATGTTCTCGGCCATTAAAGTCCTGCCACGTGGGCCATCGGGGCTGCAGCTGGGGGGACGGCGCGGGGCAGGATGTCAGGGGGAGACACGCACCGGACGGCAGCATCGCATGAGAAACCCGGCAAAGCAGAGTCAGTCTCCACCAAACCAGCAACCCTAGATCCTGAGGGTGGAGTCAGGGCGCCGGGCTCTGCTGGGTCGGGGTGTGGGGACAACGTGGGGAGGGGCCCACGGTCTGCGTGGAAAATGGGGCTTTGGCAGAGGCATGTCCCACCAAAAAAAAAGAAAAGCAGTTCTTCGCAAGCTTCTCTCTTCCCTCTGGGAAGCTGGCTGGCAGGTCGAGGGCCGGCACATGGGGTATGTCTTGCTGACGGGCCCCGTGGCCTTGCCGCTCCTCACACTCGGCGAGGGGGCTCTGTCTGTCTGTCTCCCCGCCTGTCTGTCTGGGAGCGGTGGGGCATCGGGAGGGAGTGTGTCCAGTGCAGACGGGGTCGGCCGGCCGTGGCGGTGGCCATGCTGAAGCTGTCTTGGCCGCCATCGGTGCCTCCCTTGCTCGGCCAAACATCAGCCAGCCAGGTGGGTCCCAGTGCCCAGCGCCTGCCACGCAGACTTCACGGGACAGCCCCGGCCTGCCCTGGAAGCCGCCTCAGCGGGGTGGGCAGGCCGGGTCCGTCAGCCGCTACTACCTCACGCAACCCTCCCCCGGGAGACACTCCTGGGCAGCGCATCTCTTCTGTGGCCAAAGCCAGAGCCCTGGAGAGACGAGCGGCTGGTGGGATCACAACAGAACTGGGACGGGAAAAGATCTCATCGTCGGACCCGGGAAACCTCAGGCGGCCTGAGATTAACAGGCGTGGCCCTGTGGACCGAGGACTGGCAGGACGGGCTCCTCGGGGTCACACGTGCAGCCCCCAAGCTGTTGGTAGCGGGGGGCTGGGGACGGGGCAGGGGACCCTGTGACCCAAACTCGCCTGAAATGCACACATCTTAAAAGGCTTGAGAGACGCAGTGATCCTGAAGCACAGGCGAGAAGCCGGGAGGTGCCCCAGGGAGAAAGGCAGCCACAGAAGGACAGTGAGGAAGTGGCGGGATGACCGGACCTCCCCCCACCGGTCGGCCCCCCCGACCCCCAAGAGACAGACCTGTGGGCTCCTGGCAGGGGAGGGGCGGCCCCCGCAGGTCTGGCAGGCTCCCAGCTCACTGTCCCTCTGGGAGCACCAGAAGGGCACCCCCCAGGGTGACTTATTAGCATCTCAGTGTGATCACAGCCTCCCCTGAGATCCTCTGAGGGATTGTGCAACCTGAGCCTATAAAAGCCTCCACAGCCAGCCAGGAAGCTGCACTCAGCTGCACTTGTCCCTGGCACCCGCCAGCATGAGGGCCCTCTGCTGCCTGCTGCTGGCCTCCTGCCTGCTCCTCTGCCACCCGGGCCCAGGTGAGTGAGCGGCTGGACACGGCCCCTGCCCCAGGCCGGGCACTCGGGCCTCCGGGACTCTGAGGTCCAGCAGCAGGAAAGCACTCCCAAGGCGGCGGGGGCACAACCTCTGAGACCCGCCAGGGGGAGCCTACTGGACCCCCCGGGCCGGTCCTCGAGGGTCCACAGGGCAGCCCCGCTGCAGGAGAGGTGGGCTCTCTCGGGCCCTGTCCATCCTAGGGCCCTTGACTTCTGGGCTGGAAGAGGGTGGGGACACAGTCACAGGCGGCTGGCCAGCAGCCCCAGTCCCTTCCTTGCCTTGGGCCGAGAATTGGCTTCGTCCCTGCGTTGGGGCCGCATTAGAGAGGTCAGCTGCTGCCCAGCTGCGAGGGCGCAGCTCGGTCGAAACACTGGGCAGGGGCTGCAGGCGACAGCAGCGGCTGCCCCCTCCCCCACAGGCCGCTCAGGGCACCCTCGACTCACTGGTGTGCAGGCCCTGACGTCTTGGGGCCGCCCGTCCCTGGACACGCTCACCTCCTGCGGTGGGACGTGCATGGGGCACCCGTCGGTCCCACTAGGCTGCTTCTCTGGGTCAAAGCAGCCAAGTCCCTGGGGCCAGGCGGGCAGGACACTACAGGCGAGAGGAGCCTCCCCCGCCCCGGCAGGTCTCCCTCCCAAGCTCCTCTGCCAGCCGTGCCGGGCTCGCTTGCTCACCCGCGGGCGAGGGCTGGAGGTGACTCAGCGCCTGAGAGCCTCCAAAGGCCCAACCAAGCATCCGCACCCATGTGCTCAGGGCTGAGCCAGGAGGCCTGAGCAAGGGGCCCCTCTGGCAGCTGCCTCTGGCCGGTCAGGGCCCGCGGGGAGGGCCCCGGGGAAGGGCAGTCTGACCACGGCTCCAGCATTGGCTGAGGCTGCCCTGTGTGGGGGTGGGAGGGGGAAGGAGCGATGTCTTCAGGCGCAGGCAGTGGCCCTCCCTCTGCTGACTCAGGCACCACTGCGGCTTGTCTTCTGTCCCGTGGCCTTGGTCAGTGTGTGCTGGCTGTGCTGGCCCCGCCCCGGGGCACCCACTCCTCCCCGCAGACCCGTTGGTGGCCGTGATGCCCAGACCCTCCTCGGTGTCCAGCACAGGCGGGGGGCTGGGACGGTGTCCAGAGGGCACTGCTGGGCACAGGCACACTCGCCCCCAGCCCCTCGTGGAGTGGGGGTCTGTTCACGCCGTTCCTGGAAGAGCCCTTGAGCTGGCCCGGCCCAGCCTGAGACTTCCCAGGGGGAAACAGAGGCCCATGGCTCCAAGGGAAGGGGGTGCCATGAGTTGGGGGGCCCACCCCTTTTTATAGATGTGTCTCAGCGGTGAAGCTCGGGGAGATGGACCCCGAATGCCCAGCCAGGAACAGGACTCAATCCCAGCCCTGCCCCAGAGCCCACGTCCTCGGCACGCACTCCCCAGAGACTCGGCTCTGCTAGCAGGCACCACATTCATCTGGAGGATAATCTGACAGGAGTTGGATGAAACGTTTCATGACCTTAACAAGTGACCTTGCTGCTCCCCCCACAGCAGCCTGAGCATCTCCGGACCTCACCTGTGTCTGGGAGTGGGTGGCAGGCTAGGAGGCTGGTATTTATTTTGTGGGAGTGGCTCCGATATTCGATTTCATCTCCAAAAGCTTAGAGAGATTCTGGGAATGAGGTCCAGCCCTCCCAGCCGCCACTGGGCTCCGGCGCCAGCTCCCTCCCAGGGGACCAGCGCTGCAGCTCGGGCACGGGCAGCCTCCCGGGCCCCTGCGGCCACCCCTGGCCAGCACCCGGCCTGTTTGCCGTGGGGAGCGCCTTGGCCGACCTGCCGAGTCCCGGAGGGCTCCGATAAGCGCGTTCCTCCCCCATGCAGACAAGTCCCCCCACGTCTCCCGTGGGTGCGGAGCCCACACCTGTGTCTGTGTTGGGCCTACACACATCTCACACCTGCCTGATGCGTGGGACCCTCCTGCCCCCACACCCCTGGGAGCCTGTCCTGCTGCTCAGTCCTGGGGAGCAAGGGGCACATTCCTGTGCCCCCCAAAGGCCACCCCAGTGCCACGTCCTTGTTCTCACCTGCTGGCAGTGTTCTCTGTTCTCCAGTCCCCTCGATCAGGAGCGCCATCACCCCAAAAGAGACGCTGGCTTGTACTTCTCAGGTCCACTGGGTGGGAACTGAGACAGGTGCGCACAAGGCCCGGGAAGTGGGGGTCGCCATGGGGCTCCTGTGCCGTGGAGCTCGCAGTCCAGGCCACGATGGCGGAGTGCGGGATCGCCTGGGCCCCGGGCACTTGGTCACGTGACACGAGGGCATCACGAGACAACCTTGGCCAAGCAGCTCCCCGACACCAGGGTCAGGCTGCCCACCCGGCCGCTCTCAGGAGCCTCATGCGGGCCTCCAGCCCCGAAGCCCCGCCCGGCCCCGCCCGCACCCTCACCTCACTGTCCCGAGGACGCTGACCGCCCGCCCGGCCTCAGAGGGCGAGCGGGCCCCTCCACACGAAGGGACCGCCGGCAGCGGCAGCTCTTCTCAATCGACTAAGGAAGCTCCTTCCAGGTCCTTCTCTGCTGGGTTTGTCTCCCGAATCGCGTGATCTTTCTGATCTGCGGGCAGCGCCATGTGCCTCTCTCCCGTATTATCACCCGCGTGGCTGGCCTCAAAGGCTCCGGGAGGCCTGTGCTCCTGAGCAGGCCGGAGCTGGCCGCTCCGCCCCAGTGCATCAGGGCCCCCGCTGGGCTCGGGGCCGCCCCCTCCCCGGCACCGCTGGCCCCGGACCCTGGCTGAGGCGGCGCTGGCACCACAGCGTGACGGCGGCTGTGCCCCTCGTGCTCCGCTGAGAAGGTGGCGCTCAGACGCCGTCTCTCCCCTGCCTTTGCCCCAGCTCGGGGGTGACGCCGTCGTGGCCTGAGTGTGACTTATGGGCTCAGAGAGTTCTGGACCCCTCTGGCTCTGCCGATGCTCACGCGCTTGTTTTCGTCCAGGAGTTCATCTCCACTTAGCTCTCCAGTCTCCCACGTGAATATTCTGTTTCCCACGTGAGTGCAGGGAGGGAAATATGAATATTTGGTTTTTTCCATTTCCACTAAATCGTAGAGATTTTAAATTCATGATAACCTTAATCTTTCCTAGCCGTGGACGGGCTGTGCTTTCATTCCCGTCTCCGCCCAAATCCTAACCAGGTAAATCTTTGCTGTCAGCTCTGACACCAGCCACGGGTGTGGGGTGTGTGTCGGGGATGTGTGTGTGGTGTGTGTGTGGTGTGAGTGTGTGATGTGTGTGCTGGATGTGTGTGTGGTGTGTGTGGGGGGGAAATGGGTGAGAGGGCTGTAGCGTGCGTCGTGGAGAAGGAGCTCCAACCTGGCCTGTGCCACCAGGTGCCTCCACCACCCAGGGTTGCCGCTCAACAGGGGCAAAGCGCCTGCCCAGGGCCGTCCCGGTGTCCCGGGGTCTGTCCAGGTGTCCCGGCGTTGTTGGGGCTGCGGCCCTGAGTCTGACCTTCTCTCCCCTTCCTACAGGTATGGGGGCGATAGGCCAGGGATATCCTGACCGCACCAAATGCTTCAAGGAAGGTGGCTTCTGCCACTTCTACTACTGCCCGCTGAAAACCGACATCATAGGCACCTGCTACAATGGGACGACCAAGTGCTGCCGGCATCACCTGCACCCGCGTGACCCGCACCTGGTGTGACCGGCGGCGAGCGCAGCGCGAGCGGAGGCCACACTTGTCAGCCTTGTTTTAATAAAAAAACACTGGTTGGGAAGCATAGCTCCTTCAGACCAAAGTGAATTTTGGGGCAGCCTTTGGGAGAGGACAGCAGTGCGGGGCCGGCGAGGGAGACGGCCAGGCCGGGCCCAGGACGGCCCCGGCACGACTGCAGCCAGCAGATAAGCGCTCAGCGGCCTCCGGGCTACCCCAGCGCTGCCTCCTGAGGGACGCTCGGCCTGGCTGGCCCGTCTGAGCTGGAGCCATATTGAGGGCACCACAGCCCTGGACCCGTCAGCCACAGATGGGCCCCCAGGCCAGACAACTGCCCACCTGATAGGGGGCCACTGGAGCCGAAAGTCCTACCCCCCCAAAGCAGCCCCAACCCCACCAGGGCGGCTGCGCCGTTCAGAGGGCTGGGGTCTCTCACACGAAGCCGGGCGCTTCTTTGACACAAGTGACACCAGTGCCCCGGGCAGGGCAAGTGCTGAGGCCCGTCCACTCGAGCAAGTGTCCTCTGGGAAGGACACCCTAGCCCACAGCCCAAGCCCGCCGAAGGGCTCCCCGCTGGCATCACCTGTGGATCTCACAGGGGACAACCCCGCCAGGGACTGCCTGTCCTGTGTCACACTGGGCCGGTCATTTGCTGCCCCCTACCCCACCCCCACCCCGGGCCCACTCCTGGCTCTCCACCCAAGGACACCTGCGTGCAGGGGTGGAGGTTACGACCTCTCGCTCCCCAGTGCTTCCTCCACTCCCCCCCAGCGGGCCCCCAGCCTCCGACCACAACCCCCGGCCCTGCCCCACCGCCCTGACATCACACGGCGCCCACCCCTCCCACACCCTCCACCTCCATAGACCTCTCGACAGCAGCGTCCTTGACACACTTCATAACAACTGCACCATGGCCTGCGGCCACCCCACCGCCATCTCGCACATGCTGCCTTGGCCAGTGTCGCAGACGCGGGCACTTAGCTCTGGCTGGGCCACAGCCCCCGAGGTCACCCCGCTCACATGCTCATGACATACATTCTCTGCCTGTGTGGGGCCACGCACCCCTGCTCCCTGCAGGCTGCCACTCCCTGGGCCCCAGAGTTTCCTTAGTGTGACGTCAAATGCACGTATTGTGTATGTCTGGTTTTATGTACATGATGGTGTTTTGGCATCGTTTTTAAAATAAAGGGCTTTCTGGGGCCTCCCCTGTGGCGCAGGCGGTGGAGCGCAGCACTGTGAAGCTGCTGCAGCCTCGGCAGCGTGGGCTCAATCCCGGCCGGCCAACCCCACCTTCTCCAGGCAGCCCCACCTTCTCCAGGCAGCCCCGCCTCCCCGTTCCCACGGAGACCACAGTGAGCCTCCCTGTGCTCCTGTCCCTTACCTCCCAGACCACCCTGTGGCCTGCAGCGTGCGGTTGTGCCCAGCGCCTGTGCCCGGGAGTATAATAAACTGTCCCCGAGCCTCTCCTGGCCTCGTCCTGGGGCCCCACCTCTGAGCAGCTCATAAAAGAACACAACACAGAGGTCACTCTATCCAAAAGCGTCTTCAAAGAAATGTGCACAATGTTTGACCCGCTATCTGGGCGCCACCGCCGGCCAAGTTGGCACATGAAATGAACTATCACGTGAATTTAATGGCATGTTGGAGGCGCCGTTCTGGTAGCCGGCCTCCCACATTTTGCCTGGTCAGCATCACCTGCCAAGGCCAGAGTTCCCAGGGGGTTTACATGCCAAGACAAGCTCGTCAGGGAAACAGCTCTCCCGAGAGCGGCGTAGCAAGCACACCCCACACCTCCACCCACGGGACACAACTTGGGGCTCCACCCTGAAGTGTGACATACAGCCAAGGTGAGCAGAAGTGCGAGGACCATGTCCGCATGGGAAGAGCCCCATGAACCAAATGCAGCGGCCTCTGAGAAAGGACAGTTGGTGTGCGAGCAGCGCGAACTCATCAATGTTACCACAGTCATCAAAGAAAGGAAAGATGATAACGCATTTATAAGATGGTAGTAAAGCATTCTGGGGCGGGATCGGGGATGCCAGGAAGACACCAGCTCTTTAAGAATGCGGACATAGGCCTTCCTGGTGGCGCAGCAGTTGAGCGCTGGGTTGCGAAGCTGCCCGCAGCCTCCACAGTGCCGGTTCGATCCCCAGCTGCTCCCCGGCCACCGGAGGAGGGTCCCACATGGCGCGCAGACCTCTCCTGCCGCCCGCTGCTCCCCTCAGCAGTGTACTTCAGTCCTTCTGCCTGCTCTGCTCCCCGCTCTGGCTCTGGTGAATTCTCTCACCCTCCCATGCTTCTGACTGTACCCAGTGCTTGTGTAAGTAACAAATAATAAATCTTAAAAAAAAAATAATGCAGACAAAAAAATTTGGAGGGGTTCAATGCAACCTTTAAAATGCAGAGAGATGCTGGGATGCTCCTAAGCAACACTCTCACCCTAGGGGGAGCAAACAGAGGTGCTGGCACTGGGGCTCTTTAAGCCCCCAGGGAATTGGGGGATTTTCGTATCATCCTTTCTGCTGCTGTGAGAGGACACTGGTTGACTTGTGCACGCTGCACCCCCCTCGCTCTCCTCAGGTGAGTCCTGTCATGTGTTGTCAGCTTTGATGTGCCGGGGATTTGTTGCGGACTTCTGCATCCACGGTCATCACGGACCTCAGTCCCTGGTTTTATCTGCGTGCAGGCTCTTCGTCTCTGGTTTGGGGACAAGCAACGTGGGGCTCATACAATGTGTGCGGGAGTTTCCCCCTCCCTGAGAACCGGTGTTCACACCTCAGCTCTCGTCAGGTGTTCCGGAGACACTAAGTGATGACCAGCTTCTCCAACCTGCAGCGGGAGGGAGGAGGAGCTAGAGACAGATGCTCCCTCCCGCAGGGCTGGGGTCTCAGCAGGTCCCTGGGACCTGGGAGGAGACGGGGTGCCGGGGGCCCGGGGAGTAAAGCTATGCCTCCAGGTGAGCAACACAGGCCAGGGCGAGTCTTACTTGGTCTTTTTTTTCAATAAACAAATCCTGGAGGATGAATTTGAATAAGAACAAATAGGCCAAATGAAAACAAAGCCAAAGGACAGCCTGATAGACTCCAGAGGTTCTCTGGCCACAGACATTGGAGCGAGGAGAGAAAAAAACGAGGGGAAGAAATTATGCCCCAAATCATGGAGAATATTCCCAGAAATGAATATATACGAATATATGGGGGGGACTCACCAGACCCCACCCATGCTGCACCCTGACCTCCCACTACCCGCTTCCGGACCCTGAGAAATAATCCGTTGTTGTGTTAGGGGGAAAAGGCTGTCCCAAAGCAAATTCCATACAGGCTTTGTGGACTCCACCCCCACCCCAGGTCAAAGCCAAAGACACTGGGAACTCCAAATCCCATCACCACCAAAGGGAAGGTGGCTGGGACCTGAGGGTGGGGTTAAGCAGCCAGGTGGATACAAAAGGCAGACACGTGGGCTTTGGGGATCCCCCATTTTTGGCTCTCCGCCAGCTCGCAGCGTCCGGCCAGCTCTGAGAGTGACTTTGGGTTTCCAGGTCGTCGGATCGGGTAGGACGCATTAAAGACTTTATTTCCCTATTTTCTCCCTGAGTTGTACATTTTCCTTATTTCTTTTTCTCTTGTAAATAAACCTTTTATTAACCTTTTGTGTGTGTGTGTAGTGGAGTACTCATAAGTCCCTTTAAAGCGCGCGGGTGAGGACCCACAGCCAGGAACCCGTTTAATATCGAGGTTGCTCTATAACAGTTGAAGCCCCAGCCTCAGCCGAGGGCAGCTAGTTCTAGCCGCTCAAGCAGATGAAGAGGGTGAGCACATCCTACGAAGGGCGTGGGCTGGCCCGAGAAAAGAACCAGAATCGGCAGCAGGGGAGGCTGCGGAGCAGGTGCACTAAATCCTCGTCTTTCAGGGGATAAAAGTGTTTAAAGTTAATGAGCCAAAGCCCGGGGCAAGCATGTCCTTCGAAAAGGAGCAACATTAAACGTGGAAAACAGTGAAAGACAGGGGTTTCTGGTGGCGAATAACTTCCAAGAATTTAGTGCAGACAGATTTATGCATCCTTTCTTAAACACCCGCACCGCGAGAGTCTGTATTGGAAGGATGGACACTCGTGCAGGTCCCCTTCCGACACGACGGACTTTCCTCCGCCAAGAGGGTGGAATCCAGTTCCACTCCGACGCCAACACCCCAGACTCGGCGTCAGACCCCAGGCTGCGGGGCCCAGCCCCTCGAGAATGCCCCCTCAGAGCCCACCCACTGACTGGGCCCGCTCACACACCCTCTGCCCAGCTGGGCTGCAGACTTGGGAATCCCCACCCCAGAGTCAGTCCTCTGCTACAACAGCCGGGGGTGCTGCTGTGATGATCACACTCTCTGGTAAAGGGCCCAGGAGCAGCCAGTGAACAGGCCACTGTCAGGTCGGGTTGCTCGGAGGCTCCAGCCTGTACAGTGTCCTGGAGGAAGCCGGGGCCCGTGGGGGATCAGCTCCATCTCTTGTCCTCAGTGTGCCCAGAGGTTGGGGCTGGGGCGCCCCAGCTTCCCGGCCCAGGCCCCCCATGCTGAGGTCTCCAGGGAGCCGCCGGACTTGTCCCATCAGAACCCAAGACTCTCGGGACGCACCCTGGACCGGGTCGCTGCCAGGGGCTGCAGACAAAGCCCCAAGGATGCTCCTGTTTATCACAGTTTTGGGTGGAAACTCTGTGCTGTAACTTCGGGAGTTCATGGTCCCCCCTAAAAGTTCAAGATTACAATGGAGCCCGTTTGACGAGAGGCTGGTGGACAGAGAGGGCGGCTCCGGCAGCAGATTCTGGCCACACACACCGCCAAGCCTCCAAGTCCAGGGCCGGCTCTTCCCCCACGAAGCAGGCGCTCGCCCCCGCTTACTCCAGCTCAGGGCGGGGTGTGCCCACCTGGACAGGACCCTCCCCCACAGGGCATCACACCCCACGCACGCCTCCAGCCGGGACACTGACCAGCGAGGTCTTTTGGGTCTTGGAGGAAGTGTGGGTCCCTGGAGA